ATGGTGTCTGAGGTTTCAGTCCATGGTCAGTCAGCAGCTCCATGGCTATAGGCCCATGGTAAAGCAGAAGCATCACACCGGAAGGGTGTGGTGGAAAAATGCTGCTCACCACAAGGCAACCAGGAAGCAGAAAGAAAGGGAAAAAAGCCTGAAAGGGAGGGATCAGAGACCAGACACAGTCCCCAAAGTCCCCCATGACCCACAGCCTTCAGATAGGCCCCACTCTGTAAGTTTCCATCACCTCCCAACAATGCCATCAAGTAATGACCTCATCAAAGGATTAACCTGGTCACCTTCTGTCTTAGTTACTTTTGTTGCTGCTGAAACAAATACCCAAGACCCAAAGTTAAAGGAGGAAAGGTTTATTTGGCTCATGGTTTGCAGAGGTTCCAGTCTATAGTTGGCTGTCTCCAAGGCAAGGTGGCACGGCAGGCAGGCATTGCAGAGGAGAAACTGTTCACGGCAGGCTGAAGACAGCAAAAGCAACCAAGAGACAAGACCAGTCTCTTCTGTTTCTTATTTTGTATCCAGGCTACAAGGATTAAGCCGGTGCCAAACCAATCAGTTTACAGACTTAGTCATCACACACCCTTAATCCTAGCACCCTTAACCCTAGTGCCCAAAATCCTAGCATTGCACTAGGAATCAGTCACACACTCTAGATCCAGGCACCTCTGAAACAGCCCCACCTACGACTGCATGAGGCTTTGCAGGGGCATCTAGACACAGCCATAAAACCTCCCAAAGCCCACTCTCAGAAGTTGTGTGCTTCAGGGGCAATATTTTAGATTTAAACCGTAATACCTAATATGTTCCAAATATCATTTTAATATGTAACCTATATAAAGAGTTACTAGTGAGTGGCCGCTCACCTAACCAGTCAGCTTTCTGTACATCTGAGAAGCCAGTCCATTTGGTGGTCCTACCTGCACTTGGCTCCAGAGACCTTAGAAGCAATGAGAGGCCAGGGAGTGTTCCCACTGGGCCCCTGAGCCACACCAGGCTGCGGCCTTCTGCTTCTCTGTGCAGAACTGTGATGACGCCATCCTGGTTCGCAGCTACAGCAACCATTGCTAAATGCTTGGGTTTGGAGGCTGGTAGCCTGGCTTTCAGGCTCATGTTTGTTACCTGCCAGCCCTGTGATCTTGACCAATTTGCTTAGCAACCTCTCTGTGTCTGTTTTCTCACCTGAAAAACGCAGTTTTTATATTCATTACTTACCACGTAGGATTGCTATGAGAATTCAAGGAAACAGTGAAAGGAATAGAAATCAGATAGCGTCAGTTCTAAGTAAATATAAGTTGCTGCCATTTACCAAGTCTTTGAGGGAACAGCTTTGGACTGAATTTCTAAGTAGGTGTGTTAGTCAACTTTCCATCACTGACAAAAATACCTGAGAAAAACAACTTGAAGAGGAAAAGGTTCACTTTGGCTCACAGTCTCATAGGTATCCATCAGTCCATGGTCACCAACTCCATTGCTGATGCTTCCAGAACCTTCCAGACATTTGAGCTCCAAAATACGAAGGGGAGCAAAACCCACTGCAAAATCAAAAATCAATAAATGTTTAATTAAACACAGAAAACCTGACATTATGTCAAGTTCATTAATCCTTCCACTCAGTTGTCAAAAATTTCATTACCCTTCAGTATATTGGAAGAGAATTTATAGGCGAAATCTTATTTCATAAGAATTCCCAAGAGTAATGCTCAGTGGGGACATTGTGGCCAATTGTAATTAAATGAATTTCTTGTAGGCAAATAATTTGGAAAGCAAAATTATTCTAAAAAATCTTTCAATTATAAAAATAAAAGTCAGACACGAATTCATTTCAGTGTAGTTGCTGGGCTGTGGGGGGAGGGATTTCTAAAGAGTTGGGGACAGGAGAGAGGGAGTGAAGATGGCTCTTCCCCTGGACACCGAGCACCCAAGTGACCACCGTCCCTCCCCAAGCACGTCTCCTGCCAACTGTTCTCCCAGCAGCCAGGGCCACCTTTCCAAGTACCATGGTGCAGCGAATGAAGATCTTCCTGTACTCCCAGAAGGGCTGCTGGGCTTGGGCTTAGGACTGAGACACCTCAAGACCTTTGCAATGACCCCTCAAGGTAGAGCTACAACGATGCCACGTTCAAAAGGAGAAACTGAGGCTCAGAAAGAGCACGATGTGCTCAAGGCACGAGCTAAGAAGTGGGGAAGCTAGGAGCAAAGCCCAGCATTTCCGACTCAGGGGACACAGTGGGGGACCCATGGGGCCCAACCACCAGCAGAGGGCAGACCCAGGGCCGCTCCTTCGGGCCTTCGAGGAACAGCTTGCCAACCTGGGCAGAGCTCAGGTGCTTGAGCCCCATCGTCACTGCTCCCCAGCCAATTCCTGGCCACCGACCTCTGCCCCTGAGCAGAGAAACCCCGCTCCACACTCAGTGCCTCTCCCCTCCTCCCACGGAGCACATTCTCAGAAGAACAATCTGAAAATAAAATCCAGGCTCCTGGTAGAGAGGAGACTTGGGTTTTGCCAACACATTGTGCAGTAAAAATATCTCTTTTTTAAACGAGAGAGAGGAGAACTGAAAGACTCGCGATCCGTAACATGTAATTATCATCTGGTTTGGGCGGAGAGTTCTAATAGTTTCCAGAAAAACACAAGCCATGAAAAGAGGAGAATGCTTTCCAAAGCAAAAAGAGGCCCGGCTCAGCGGGCAGCGGCACCATCTTGAAGTCTTGGGGTTTTGAGCCTTTCCTGGGCTCAGGGAGCTGGCACACCCATGGGCTAAGCTGTCCCTGCTCCTTCCTGGGGGAAGAACCTCAAAATACCAGGACAGCTGGGTCTCTGCCAATACCCGTGGTTCCCGGTTTAGATGCAGAGGGACCCTAGTTTTAGCTGGGCACACAGCAGTGCAGAACACTGACCACTTTCCCAGTCTCCCTGACACGTAAGACCCATGGGAATAAACTCTGAACAATGGGATACTGGTGGAAAGTACATGTCACTTGCACGATGTGTTCTTCAAAGAGAGATACCTGCCCTTCTTCTCTTTATTCCTTCCTACTGGAAGGACTGCAGATGCAGTGGTTGGAGCTCCAGCAGCCATTCTAAAATTTAAGACACACTGGGGATAGAGGCCACAAACCACAGAGCAACAAGATAAAAGAGCCCTGGGTGCACATCGAATCTGGCTGCAGACCAGCCTGTTAACCGAGAACAGAAAGATGCATCTTTACCATGTCAGCTCCTGCTATTTGAGCTTAATGACAATCTTTAGAGTCAAAATTAGCTATAAAATTTCTTAAATGGAAAGGGAGAGTACAGAATGACCTATACCTTTAAAAGTTAGAACGCCATTCGGTGTGGTAAGATATTCACAGCAGATGTGCCACAGCGACAGACATGCTGTGAAATGCAATGAAAGTGGGCTCCACCCACATTCAGTGGTTTTTTTCCATTTTCTTTCTCTCTCCTTCCTTCATTTGCCTTTGTCCAGGGCCTACAGTTAGGCAGAGACACATCTTTTTTTACTTACTCAGTTTTCGTGAGCTCACTCTAAGCACTGGCTAGAAATACTTTTCCTCAAAGATTCTGTCCGTTTTACAGCTGAAGAAACTGAGGCAGGGCAGGAGCAGGGTTGCAGTGACAGAATCCTTGTCCCCAAAGCAACCCGCAGGGCTGCCCCTGGCACAGTGGCTTCTGCTACTGGCTCCTAGAGACTACAGTGGCCTTAGAATGGGGTTACCACGACGTGGGGACCACCCAGACACTATCCAGACGATCTTTCTAGAAGCAAAGCTGGCTGTGTGGGTCGAGCCAAGAGCCCCGCCTGCCTCGGCTGTAGGACCGGCTCAGTCTCCACACCCGGGTGGGCATGGGCAGGGGGTGGAGCCAGGGACGGGGCGGGGGGCTGGCGTGGGGAGGCGCAGAGGGAGCGGGTCCCTCCCGCAGAGGGGGGCTGTGTAAAGGGCACCCTGAGAGGCCAGGGGGCTGAGCACCGAGAACTGGCAGCCACGGATCCCACTGGACGCAACCTCTGCCAGGAGAGGAGACTGGGATGATGGAGAAATTATCTCAGGGAGGACAGACGGAAGAAAGGCAGGGTGATGGCGGAGGCAGGCGCTGGAGGGGGGACCCGGAGCTGTGGCCCCGGAGTCGGGAGCCCACCCGGGTGGGAATGGGGGTCCTGGTCTCCCCTAAATCCGAGGGGCCCGGAGCAGGGCTGGCCAAGCCAGCTGGTGGCCAGCGCCCCCTGGTGGCCAGCCTTGGTGTGGCGCCCCGGCCTCCTGGAAAGCCCGGGACTTCAGGCTGCGTTCCTGGCAAGGAGAGACCCGTGGCTGGGGTCACGGCTGCTTCGAGAACCTATGGAGGCTGGAGGCGACTGCCCTTTCCCTGAAGCGCGCCTGTGCCTCCCTTCTGTGCTCCTGACCAGGTGGACATTGCTCAGCTGCCTTAACTCTTTCGCCCCCACCACCCCCTGAAGCGGGCTCTTTCATGAACCATTTACAGACGGGAAGCGGAGGTGCAGAGGGATTGGATAACGGGCCTCAGGCCTCACAGCGGGGCCGCAGACATCACCTTCGGGGCGACTTGATGAAGGTGGTGCCAGCAGGCGGTTTTCTAACAGGATTGTGAAATTACAAAGCACATCCTCCCTCACAGCAAGGGGATTTACTCATGACTTCTGGGTGTTACTGATCAGACAAATGGCTTCGCCCCTCAGAGAAGAGGACGGTACTGCCCTGTAGAGGAGCTGGAGGAGGGAGGGTGCCACTGAAAAGCACATCCCCTCGAGGTACACAGGCACCACCCATCCACGCGTCCTATCCTTGAGGAGGGGTCTGGGTGGGCAGCGCAGGATGCGGGGAAGGCCAGGCAAACCAGCTCCAGCTCCGCCCTGCTGGCATCACCCTGGGGCCTCTAAAGCCATCCTGCTCATCAATTCTGCTTTCACTTCTGTTTCTTTCGAAAACCGCACACAAGTTTCATTTTCTTTTCCCAAGAAAGCTGACGGGCAGGGTGGCTGGGTGTTTATTTCTGGGTTGTAAGCAGCTGATACCAGCCCAGCTGAAGCTGGGGCTCCTTCCCTTGTGGGTTCAGAGGTGCTAGAGGTACGAGGCTCCGCCGGCCTCCTCTCCGGCCACACCCCAAGGCCACAGTGCAGAGACCGGCTGCCACCCCAGGGCCACTGCTATCAGCATGGCCGAGGCCACAGCAGACCCCAGAACAGGAGGTAAGGGCATCTTCCTGCTGAAGTGCGAGGGAGTCTCCGGGTGGGGCTTCTACTTCTTTTCCAGCTCTTTCCTTGGCTCAGTTGACAGCCACCTCCTACAGAACATCAGTGATCAGCCGGCGGGGGGTGGGCTCAGCGCACCCCAGGCACTTTGCCTGCCTGGCGTAGTCGTTCTCAGCAGCCAGGGCAGTGGTGTCCCCAATTCATAGACGTCATAGCTGAGGCCGGGTGGGTGAGATGACTCAGGGTGCCACAGCTGGGGAGCACTGGTCCTCGAGGGCTGCACTGTCATTGTGAGAATGCAGTTGTTGCCCTCATAAGACTCGGGTGGACCTGTCTTTCACCCTCACCACTTCCTGTGCTCTGTGAACATCTCCAGAAGTCACAAGGAAAGGAGGCCTGGAACTGAAGCGAGTGCTCTGCTCTGGAGCGCCCCTGAGTGGAGAGCTCTGTGTTTCATTGCTTTTGTTCTGCTGTTTATCATTAGCTCTTTTAATTCTGACCACAGCCCTTGAAGTCATTGCTGTCACCCCATTTCACAGGTGGGGAAACCAAGGCATGGGGACTTGGCACAGCAAATGGTTGGCAGAGCTGGGGCCTGATCCAAGGAAACCAGACACCAGAGACTAAAGAGGAGGAAAAGACAGTGCCCAGGAAGGGGTGGCTTCGGGCTGTAGCCCAGGAGCGCTGGCTGGTGACAAGTTCTGTTTATCCTAGGGGTGAGGCTGGCCCTGGCCCTATCCCGAATGGTTTTTCCAGTCTTGCTGCCCAGGTGACTCTCTTTACTACCTGCTTGTCACCTGCGCCAGACCCCGTGCCCTTCATGCCCACCTCTGCCCACGCCTGCCCTTTGGGGTCAGTGGAGGCTAGGAGAGAGGGAACAGGCCCAACAGGGGACGGGCTCTCCACGAGCTCACCCTTCCTGAAGATGAGGCAAAGCCGGTGGCAGAGTCTGCTGGGCCGGCGGTGGGGTGGGCACCCCCTGGTGCAGCATGGAGGGGAGTGTCCGGACTGCAAGGGTGCTGGGAACTTATTACCCTGCCCTCAAGTGCCACTGCTGCGGGACAGAATCAAAGCCTGCCAGGACCACTGATCAGAGAGGACCCGGAGGCAGAGCAGGGGTCGCTGCCCTGGAAGGGGCCCAGGAAGCCCCAATTTGAACCCGGCCTTGCACTACCCTAGGGAGTGGGGGGAGAGGCTTCCTGGGACACATGAGGCTGTGGTGACACAGCTCTCCCCAGCTCCTGTCCTCCAGTGCAGCCTGCCCATGCTGGGGTCTGCCCAAGCAGCTGCCTTTCTTCTCCAGTGTGAGATATTGGCACTAAGTTTTGAGAGCTTATCCCAAGGGCAGAAGGCACCATTTGGAAAGTTTCTCCTTGGGCCCCGTTGGGTCCTGCTTGGGGCTCCTTACACTCAGACCAGGAACCAGGTGCCCACGTCAAGTGCACAACATCTGTCCAAGTGGAGAACAAATCCACTCGTTCATTCATTCATTCACCCAGTCACTCGCTCATTCACTGCCGCTTCCTAAGCACCTGGCCTGTGCATAGCCTGAAGGTGTGAGAACCAGGAAACATAGCAGGGGACACTCACACAAGCCACATCCCTCCCACAGGGCACCTGGGGACCGTGTCCCAAAGGAGAAGGCATCTGAGCGAGGCCAGGAGCAGACCCTGGGCAGGTGGACAGGGAAGTCTGCTCCCGTGGCAGGTGGGGTGTGTGCTGACTGGAGGGCAGGGCTGGCCATGGAGGGAGCCGGGGCAGGTGTGGACTGGACTGGGTAGTTCCAGAGGTCCACCTGGGTTCTGATGGAGAGAGACTGAGGGGACCCAGCTGCAGTTGGGGGCCACTTGGAAACCATTGCTGTAATCGGGGAATGGGGTGGTGGGGACAGGGAAAGGGGAAGTGGGGGACTTGAGAGAGTCCAGGGGTGGCATTTCCAGGACTCCACGGCTGGGCTTTGGAATGCCTGCCAGGTTTCTGGCTTGGAAGGACAGCTACACCTCCGATGTGGACAGTGGCCCAGGAGGAGGGTGGCAGGCATGTCAGAGAGCCCTGCAGCAGGGAGCAAGGAGCCCCACTTGGCTCCACTCTGCTGGGCCCCTCTGGGCCCCCTTCCTCCCTCTGCACCCTGCTCTGAGCACCTCCTGGTGCAGAGCCTTCCCACCTGCCCAGGCACCATGGGGAAGGCAACCAGGCTCTCTGGCCAAGGTCGGTTCTGACTGGCCCGTGTGCTGTCCATCCCGACAGAGGCTGTCCTTGCTGAAACCCATGGATGTCCGCCAGGGCCTCTGTCTGCATCCTTTGCCTGGGACCCTTCTCTAGGAGGCCTCCGTTGGCTTCAGTCCGGGCCCCACCACAGGCCCCGGGGCTCAGTGCTTCTCTCTGCCCTACTGCCCCAGGCCAGCTGGAGCAGAAGATCCTGCAGGCACTGAGGAAGGCTGGCTCCGCTGTGCACACCCGACTGCTCGTGAAGGAATGCCAGGTGCTCAAGCAGGAGCTCAACCGAGTCCTCTACCGGATGCAGAAGGAGTCGAAAGTCTCTCTTGTGGCCCCTGCGACCTGGCACTTGGGCGGGGGTGATCCTGGCGACGCAGCTCCCACACAGCCAGCCCAGCCCAGCATCGGTAACCTACCGTGGCATGAGGGGTCCCCAGGAGCCATCTTGGCAATGAGGACACCCAGATTTGGGCCTGGGTTCCACTCTGGGCTCTACCACTTGGGGAAGCATGATGTCCCCTCAGCAGACCTTAATTTTCTGGCCAGTGGAGATAACAGGAGGGCTGCATTGTAGGGGATACAGAGAGGATCCACGAGGTGCAGTACCAGCACACGGTAAGTGCTCAGCAGAATACTGGTGATAGTGACGGAGGAAGGGCGACAATAATAGCACAGCCATGACAGGACCACTCAGGTGATGCTGAGCCACCTCTCTGGTTTTAAAGCCTCTAGGCAAAAAAGCACTCACCTTTACCAAACACACCGGGTGCAGCACCCTGGGGATCCCCCCACACACATGTAAATATTGCTCTTCCCTCTCTTATACCGAAAAGGAAATGGAGCCTCAGAGAAGTTAATTGACAGGAAGTTGTCTAGCTAGAAGGGCCAAGGCAGACAGGAAGCCACCTTGCTGAGCAGTTTGGGAATCCGGGTGGAAATGCCTGTCCCCACTGTGCCCCTGTGAGTTCTCCACCCTGCCTGGCCACGGCCAGGTGAATTTCCTGTCCCCACTCCAAGCTATCTTTCTTCCTCCAGCCCAGAGGCCCCAGCAAGACATGGCAGAGAGTCCTGGCCCGAAGCTCAGCAGCCTCCGTAAGCACCTCCAGCTGCCCCTCTCTGCTCCCAGACCATATACCTGTCCCTCCCCAGGGGACATGGTGCTCAGGCCCCGAAGAGGGCTCTAAGGGAAGCCTCGGCCTCTGCAGCCAGTGAGTCCAAAAGGCTGGGAAACCATTTCCCTGCCCCAGGGTTCCCATGCCTATGCACCTTCCAGCACTTTCCTCGAGGCCCCGGCCTCAGGACGCCCTGAGTGTGTCAGGGCTGCAGCCAGGGTGGTTCCACCCATCCCTTCAGTAGGGAACTGGGCATGAGGGGCTGGGCCGCCCAGACTCAGGGGCCTGCTCACCCACCGAGCCACTCTGCCTCCAGAGGAAAGGATCCACAGCTTTCTGGAAGCCAGCGGGCCCTGCAAGGCCCTGCATATTGCCAAGGCCCTGGGCATGAGGACGGCGAAGGATGTGAACCCAGACTTGTACCGGATGGGCATCAGTGGCCTTCTGAGCTGCGACGAGAAGTCCAAAGAGTGGAGGGTCTCCAGAGCAGGTAGGTGCTCACCTGCTGTCTGAACCCAGGCCGGTAGCGGGACAGAGCAGCGAAGAGAAGCTGTTAACACCAGTGCAGGATCCTCCACAGAGCACTCTACCCGCCCCCTCACAGAAGCTGCTGGAAGCCTAAGGACACTGCACTGAGGGGGCTCCAGGTGGGAGGGGCGCTGGCAGGATCAACAGGGGGGCTTCCCTGGACCCATGGGAGCGGGTGCAGAAGGCCGGACTCGGGAGCGGCCCCTCCAGACTCCATCAGCCCTGGGGTGCAGGGGTCTGCCTGATTTGGTAATGGTTTTCTGTAAGTACTTTGCCCAAGCTGGGGTTTCAGCGTTGCCCAGACAGGACAAGACTGGGCCCAGGGCCAGCTGCCCACAGTGCAGGCAGCACAGTGCCTACAACCCAAGATAGTTCTGGGGGCCCACAAAAATGTCTCCACCTCGATTTCTTTTAAAGTCAGAAGAAATGAGTATTTTAATAATAATCAATATCTAAGATTAAATCCATCCTGGATTATATTTTCTCTTCATACAAACACAATCACAAAATGTAATTTTTTTTTTTGGTACTGGAGATCGAACTCAGGACCTTATGCTTGTAAGGCAGGCATGGTGCCACTGAGCTAAATCCCTATTTATTTATTTTTAATGGAAGGAAGGGTCCAGGCAGGAGAGCCAGGGGCCCAGGAAGGTGGCATGTGACCATGAAAGTGTTCAATGAGCCAAACAAAACTCATGTGACCATGGCCCACCATCTTCTAGCCATCGTTAAAGGACACAGGGAGCCTGGGGCTAGTGGACAGGGCTGTGGCCACCTCCTAGTAAGAGGGACAGAGAGTAGGAGAGAGCATGAGATTCATGCTGTCCACCCAGAGACTCAGCACGGCGGCCCTGCTGGGGGTGGGGGAGGACCCACAGTGAAGGTGGCCTGCCTGAGCTACCCATGGCTGTCAGACATGCAGGGAAGGAAGGCTGGAGTCCGCCCTGCATGCTGGCTCCCGGGTCCCATCTTGGACCTATTGACTGTGCCCCAGGATGGGCATCAGGGATCTGCGTCCTACCACGTCCCCAGGAAGGTGGTGCTGGCAGTCGGTACCTGGAACTCCTGACCCCAATGAGGTGCAAAAGGTTAGAGTGGGCTTCTATTTTGCAGGAGATTCTGGAATTAAAAATCAGTCAGCCACAATTATTTACCAGCAGAGTTCAGTCAACATGATCTATCAGAGCCAGATTTCCATCATGAACTCTGAAGCCACACAGATTGGACATGGAAACGTCATAGCAAAGCAGGGGCAGAATGGTAAGATGTGAACCTTGAGAGGCACTTGCTCCACCTGGGTAAGGCTGGGGAGCAGGAGATTTGATTCTCCAAGGAGAAAGGGCAGCTTTCTCTTCTCTACTGCTTTCTTTTGGCCTTCCTGAGAACGAGGATACCTGGATCAAACCCCTCCTGATCTCCCTTCACTCCAATACCTTTTGCTCATTTTCGACGATGTCTAATATTTGCCATGAGAAATAATTCAGCTCACTCTCCCTCAGCAGTGGGTTGGTGGGTATTTCATCTGTTCTGAACACACTTCTTTCCCCCTACATCATGAGACATTGGATGAGGGGGGGCATCTTGCCATCAGCGGCATCTTAGGTTACATGACATAGGGAACTGTGCAGGACCCTTTACTCCGTGCCAGGCACTGTGGTATGAGGACCCGGGGCCACCTCTCAGAGAGGCCCTGTCACCTGCGTGTGAGAGCCTCAGCTCAAAAGTCTTTCACTCTTTGTGACTTTGGGAGAGACTTTCCCCGCCCTGGGCCTCAGTTTCCCCAACTGTGAAATGAGGGATTTGGTCCTAGAACCTAGATTATTATTTCCTAACTGAAGGCCTCTTATGCTGCACCTCCAGTTTTAGCCATCCCCTGTCTGATTACTTAATGCTGCTAAATGGTTCACCTTTTTTGGCTCAAAGATGTTTTAAATATAATTTTTAGCATTCTCTTAAAACCATGAGGGTCACCATCAAAATAAATGCCAGGAAAACAAAGCAATGTCAGGCTCTGAGCCCGGAGGGGCGTTAAGGGGGTGTTAATGCTGCAGAGGCTTTTTTCTGATGGGTGCTGGAGGTTTGAGGCCGCCGCAAGCAGGCAAGTGAGCCCTTTGTTGGGGTCTGCGGTGTCTCACCTACACCCTGAGCACCAGCCACATCTGGGGACAACTGGGGAGCCCCGCCTCTAGCTGTCCACGTGTCCGCTGCTCTCTGGTCCAGAGCGACCTAGAGTGACCCACAGACTTCACGCTGCCGCCTCCCTTCCAGGCACCACGACTGCTCACCGTCTCCCTCCAGTGGCACCAGGTGATTCTCCAGCTCAGGGGCCCCCAGCTGGTATCTGGGGACCCCAGGACATCCACATAGAGAGTTCGATCCTCCGAAGGGTGCAGATGGGACATGGCAATGAGATGAACCTTCTCGGGGTCCCATCTGAAGGCCCTGCCTCCAGCCTGTCCTGCAGCCCTCCAGGTAAAGCTGGGTTTCATCCGGGCTGGTGAGCCGGCCCCGTCACCCCCTCTAGGCTCCTTCCTGGAAGGGACCTGACCCAGCCTTTTCAGGGAGAGAGGCATGATGGGAAATTCCTTTTCTTCAACCAGGAAGCTGTTCCGCTGGATAGCATGGTGGGGTGGGTAGAGCTGGCACTCTGGATCTCCATACCCTGGTGCCCCCTGCAGGAATCCTCAGTTTCTTTGTCTATAAAATGGACATGTCCTCCCTGGAGAAGGCTAGGCTGGACCACTGCAGCAGGGTCAGAGGAGCAGACTGGAGCCTGGAGTGCTGTCTAAGGAGGAAGGAGGGCAGGAGGTGACCTGAGTACTTAGGGACTGATTAACACAGTGGCATCACAGTGACCGGAGGGCCCAGCGGAGTCCTCCAGGACACTGGGAACCCAGAGATGGGCTGAGGAGAAGCAGCTCAGAGACGGCAAGGCTGGTGAGGCAGGGTGCAGCAGTGAGGAGTCAACAGTGGTCTTCGTCTGGGAGTGAGGTGGGATCCGAGGACAGGAGGAGGTGAGGGTGAGTGTGGACTGTCGTTCACACTCTAGACATTTGGGTGGGAAAGGGAGGAGCAGATGGCCCGGCCAGGTCCCCGTGCTGGGCTCAGGAGCAGAGGGAGGCTCATTGCAGATGGGCACATGGCTTGTGCAGAGCTGTCCATGGAGCCAGTGTGGACACAGGCGAAAATCTGCCACAGAGGACAAAGGCCAGGCTGGGGCCCAGCCAGTGGCTGTCCAGTGGCTTCTTCTGTCCAGTGTCGCTGGCCAGCACGGGTTTTTAACTGCATACAAGGTGGGAATCAAACAGGCGCCAGTCCTCTGGCCTGCTGACACTGTCACTGTTGTCCACTCTCTTCTCTGGAATGCTCCAAAAGAGAGGGTCCCAGTGGCGGCTTCCAAGATGTGACCAACTTCCCAGGGTCCTGAGCCCACTCATATAGGAACCACAGCCTAGTAAAGTGCGGATCTTTCAGTGCTCACAGACCTGGGCCCCGAACACCCGCAGCTACCGGGCTCTCTTAGTGGGAGTGGTCCTTCTTACAGTCTAGGGGCCCAGCAGGCCTCGGGACTCTTCGGACGAGTCCCCATGACCCTGTTGCTCTCTGCTGCTGGACGCTTCCTGTGTGAGCCACCTCTTTGTGCCCAGCTCAGCGTGTTCTCCGTAAGATAGAGACATGAAGGGACAGAAATATATTCCCGGAAGGGGCTTCGTGCGGACTTGTGCCACAGCATACAGGGAATAGTGAACTGGGACTGAGCGGAGGAGGATGCTACGTAAGGTGCTCATGGGTTAGGAGGGGCTGAGGGGCTGCAGAGGGGCTTCGGGACACACCTGGGGCAGGACCGGAAGCAGCTGCACCTGAAGCCCACATCGCCTGGAGCAGGTGCGGGCGCTGGACACCGCAGCACCCCTGCTGCAAGGCAGCTGTTTGGGAGCCGCAGAATAAAGGTGTCTTTCAGGGAGCATCAGGCGCCTGCCTCCTGTCTCACCAGCATTTCTCTGACTGACCCCCAGCTACTGCTGCCGGCACAGATGCCTCCTTTGAAGCCAGAATGCCCAAGCAGGGCCCTCACCAGGAGGAGGACACAGTCCAGAGAATTCGCATCAAATCCTGCTACTTCGAGGATGCCACCATCGGCAACAGTAACAAAATGACCGTCATCAGTGAGGCTGGGCGGCCAGGAAAGGATGGCAGGAAGGACCCTGGGGAGCAGCAGGAGGACCCAGGTAAGTGTGGGGACCCTGGTCATTCCTGCCTCGTCCCAGGCCCAAGGCAGTCGAGGGCTGTGACAGAGCAAGCACTCTGTTGGGGTCGCACCCCTGCAGTGCAGGGCCTGAGCTGAGCCAGAGAGCTGGTGAGATCCACACTGACAGTGTGGCCCAGCACCAGGACTGAGGCCCAGACACATGAGGCCTTGCCGAAGCTCGGGCCTCTCTCCTGCCCATCACAGTCAGCAGCCAGCTGGCCCTGCAGGTTGTCTCCGGACCCAGGTCCTCCACTGGTGCTCAGCTGTCCCTGGGCTCCGCCCCCACCCTGAGGTTGAGCTTGACACACCCAGAGGGAGGGAGTGGAGAGCCAGCTTGTGCCCACGCTCACCCCCACTCTGTGCTGCATCTGGGCGTCTGCATCATCCCAGCAGCAAGGTGGGCTGGGCAGTCTAGGCCTGGCTGCCACAGGAAGAGGAGGACAGTCACGGGCGCCCTCATCCATCCCAGCTATCATCCTGCCCGGGAGCTCTCAGTCTGGCTGCAGAGCCAGGGCCCCAAGTCCACAGGAGAAGAGGGTGTGGGGCTGCGGGGAGGAGGAGCCGCATAGGACCTGGAGATGAGGACTCAGGTGTGAGGATAGCAGGTGTGTGAGCGTGCACAAGTGCGTGACAGGAGAGGAGAGGAGCCAGAACCTGCTCCAGCCCGGGGGATGCTGGAGTCTGCTCCAAGGCAGTAGGGAGCCGCAGGAGGGCTGAGCGGCAGAGAGGGCGTGCTGAGATTATGCATTCCGTGTGAAGAAGGGACTGAGGGGGTTTTCAGCTCCCAGACTTCTGGGATGGGAACAAGAGGCCACACCCAGTCCCACCAGTGGTTAAGAAACCAGCTGAGCCCGAGTCCAGTGCACCAGCAGCATCGCCAGCCAGGGCCTGCAGGCCCAGGGCAATGTTCAGATGCCAAGTGGTGCTCCCATCCCTCTATCTTTGTCCCTGACAGCCCGGCACAGTGAGGAGACTCAGGCCTCTGGCACTCCCTCCAGGACACCTGCAAGTCCCTTGTGTCTGGGACATGGTATGGGAGGTCGGGGGTGGGCACACTTATCAGGGTTGAGGCAAAGAGCCAATGAAACTTGGGTTGGAGTGGCCAGTGACCAAGGTGGGCGAGAGCCACTTGGCCAGGTAGCCAGGAGAGTGAGGAGCCAACCAAGGACCTAGGATCAGCACTGCAGGTCAGTGGTGGCAAGTGCAAAGGCCCTGAGGTGGAAGCAAGGTGATCAATCCAGAGTCGCAGGCAGGAGGCTGGGAGCAGGAGGGAGTGGGTCTGATGGGTGGGGTCCCTGGCTGGTGCTGAGTCTTTTGGAGCCTGGAAGCCCAAATGAAAAGCTGCATCTTGCTGGAAGCGAGCCCTGGGACTTGGAGCAGGGGTGATGTGCATGGTGTGCAGACAGTCTGGGAACAAAGCAGGGAGCTGCCGAAAACGTCCAGGCCAGAAAGGCCAGGGGCCCTGGACTGGGGACCCTCAGCGAGTCCACCGAGTGAGCCTGCAGCCTGGGCACAGTGGCCAAAGTCCCCCGGTAACCACGGAGCCTTGGTTACTCGAGGCAAGGGGCACACACATCCTGCAGTGGCACCTCCTCTCTCCCAGGTCCTCCTCCGGAAGCCTCGGGATCTGGAAGCAGTTTCCCTCCGGAAGTTGGCCGGGCTCTGCCAGCCGTGACGCTGCCCACCCCTGAGCTGAGTGCCCTGACTCTCGGGAACCCTGATGCTTCGGAACAGTCTCTGAGCGAGGGCCCCAGATGGGAGGGGTGAGGGGCTGGGTCAGGGGTCAGGTTAGGGTTGGGAGGGGCCCAGGAGGATGAGCCAGGAGCAGGTGCACACTAGGGGCCCACGGTGCTTCCTGCACCCCACACACAGCAGCTGTGACTGCCCGCTTCCAAGCAAATGCCTGCCCGAGTGGGCTTGGAGGCTAGGCCTGGCCCAGGGATGGAATCAGGCTGAGTCTGCTGCTAGGCGGACAAGGAGCCACCTTGGAGACCCTTTGGTGTCTCAGCCAGCCCTGCCCGGCTGTGTCTCTGCTCCCTCCCGTGGCCCACCCAAATCACCTTCCATCATGGCTGCCTGCCCTGTCTGACGTTCCAGGCTGGAACTCAACAGTGTCACTGCACTCATTGGGGGTGATGGGGCCCCCAGGCCCCACCCTCGGGCGCGGCCTGAGAAGAAGGCCCAGGGAGGCATCTTTGTCCCTTTTTCAAGTAGCAACAAGGTGCATCTTTGGAGCAGAGAACAGCCCCCATCAGACACTGAATCTCCTGGTACCTTTATCTTGGAAGTCCTAACCCCTAAACTGTGAGAGATAAATTTCTGCTCTTTACAAATTTCCGAGTCTAAGGGGTTTTGTTACAGCAGACTCAAAGACCAAGACAACGATCAACCCTGTCTCTCCCTCAAGACCTGACTTCTTCAAAGCCCGTCATATCCACCTGACCTGTCTAAAATCTTCTCTCCTCAGCCTGGATCTCTCAGAATTTCAGACCTGAGCTTCCACACCTCCCATCCCCATGGGAGTCATGGGTCAGGGGACTTCCCTGGCCAATCTGCAGGGAAGGCTGTTACATAGCAGATATGGCCTCTGCTGGAGGTGGATTTCCCATGGAAGTGGTGTGGATACCGAGTCATTTCATGAGCCAAAAGGTGGGCTGGGGACAGGGCATGGACACTTGAGGAGGGACGATGGGAGGAAGATGGAAGATACAGGAAGATGGTAGTCAACCAGGCAGGGCCACTGTGGAGCAAGGACCATGTGTTCCCTGCCTTGCATACACACAAGCAGTCTGTCCCCAGTTCTCTCCATACCATTCGAACCCTCAGGGCGGGCCTTTCCCCCACCCACTGCTGGTCTCCATGGGACCCTGAAGCTCAGACACTGCAGCCATGGCCCCTTGGACTGTGTATCTTGGTGGGGAGGGGCATTGAACCCTTTCCTGACAGACTGGGTCTCCATAGTAGATGGCTGCCCATGTTGCTCAGCACCTCGGCCAATACCCATAACTTGTTCATTCCTTAGAGGGAAAAGCTGAGATGTGTTTTGAGTTCCTGGTTCCTGGCATTGATGAAGCAAGATCTACCCTTGCACCTGTCCATTAGAAGAGCCAATGGGTCCCCTCAGTGCTGAAGCCAGGCCCACAAGGACTTTGGTTTTCCAGAGCCCCCTGCCTCTCTCTCCTCTCCCACCCCATCCTTAAATCCCTGACACTCAGCTTGCAGGGCACAGCTGAGACCGTGACTTATGGGAAGAAAGCAGAGCTCCCGGTCTAGCCTGGTACCTCTTGCCTGCTCTGAGGGGAGCAGAGTTCATGGGCAGCTTGAGGACTCAGGAGAAAGAGGCTAGGATTGGGCAAACACTAGGGGCCTGGATGCAGTGCTCCTACTACCAAATGTGTGCTTGCTGCCCTGTGGTGCCCATGTTGTTTGTGTATCTCTGTAAGACTTATTTGGCTGTGGATGACAGAAAGCCGGGACTTGCTTCGGCATAGAAGGGGGTGTACTGGCTCTTCTACCAGATAAGTCCAGGCATGGACCTCCCAGGAACTCATGCAGTGTCTCAGAACTCGGCCTTCCTCCATTCCTCTGCTCTGCTTTCCTCTGTGTTTGCAAAGATGGCCCCTAACACTTCAGGCCACCACGCCACTGCTTAGTTGTCCAGTGGAAAGAGATCTTTCTCCACAGTGAAAGCCATGCTGGACAGCCTTGGTCTCCTGTCTAGCCTCCAGTTGGTCCACCTAGCAACTAGAGCAACAGAGTGCTGTGATTGGTCACCCGCTGTCACGTGACTTCTCTCCCCCAGTCACATGGCCTTAGGGTGTGGAATAGGTGATTCTCTACAGTTACAGCAAAGAGATGCTGGAGGCAAGAACCTCAGGAGCCCCTGTGGTCTCCCAGTCCTGGATGGGGACCTTGCTGGACTCCAGTCCTGTTATTTCACTCTTAGATTTCCAGGGTCCCTGTGCTTACACAAAGCCCCTCACTGACCACTTCCTGAAGGCTAAATCCTGTCCTGGGCCTGGGAGGTGGACGTACACTGGGTACTGGGGCCTCAGCAGGAATAATCTTGGGCTTATGAGAGTGCAGAACAGAAGCCCAGTCTGACCTGGGGGCTGAAGAAAACTGCAGAGGCAGATCTGTAAGACCCAGGGGAGAGAGGCGGTGGGGACGGGGATGTGGCCCAGGCAGGGCCTGGCCCTCACCAGGCATGAAGGTTAGGATGAGGTGGCTTATTCAGAGAGCTCTGGCACTGAGGGCATAGCTATAAGAGAGGCCTCGCCACTTGCACAAGTGCCATGTGGACAAGTCCTCCCAGTCCACCTGGGGGTTCCTGGGAGAATTGAGCCGGGGTGGACAGCAGGCGAGGCAGCTGGGATCCATATGAGAGACAGATCCTGTCCTCGCAGCTGGAATTGTCAACCTCAGCCACTATGGCAAGCTGCAGCCTCCAGACTGTGCCCTTGTGGGACATCCAGTTTGCAATCATCAAGTCACAAGTCCTGGGGCCTGAAACTAGGTTAGCGCATTGCTTCTGGGATGGTCTTCTTCTGCCCTGAGCCCATTTACCCAAGGTCTGTGGCTCACCAGGTCCATGGGGAACCACATGCAACTCCCACCCCCAGCCCAAACCAGCACACTCACGTGCCAGTGAGATTTCCCCTCTCTGTGTAATTAATTTGTCACGAACCCGCTGCCAAAGCATCGCTGGCAGTTAATGGAGGCTGGAGGTGAAGGTCAATGCAAGTCTCTCTGGGAAGGAAATTAACTGGTCACCATTAAAAGCAGAGAATGATTGAGTCCCTGTCCCCAGCCCTTTGCTGCACTGGCCTGCTGACTCCCTGGCCCTCCTCTCTGGATGCTCCCCACAAAGTGAACCTGCAGCTCCCAAAGGTGAGGAACGGGCAGGAATTGTTTTGTGAGTAGGGAATGATTTTCTAAACCACTATGATCTGCTCATAAATGTCGTTTTAATGTCTCATCCCAGCTTCTCCCTCCAGCCAGGGTGAGCCCAGGCAGAATTCCTTGCCTGTGGTTTAAGCAGCCAGTCAAGATTGGATGTTTAGGGCAGGAAAAAGAGTCCAGGGAATAATTCAGGAGCATTTTGGCTTCATGGGACAAAAGTCTGGTTCACCCAAGCTTAACCAAAAAGGGGAATTTATTTGCTTATGCAACTGGGGAATCAAGAGATTCCTAGGTTCAGGAATGGCTGGATGCAGGTGCTTAAGCCCTGTTTCCAGGCTTCCTTCTCTCCATCACTCTGAGAGACTATCTTAGTCACTTTTCTCATTGCTGAGACAAAATACCCAACACCCACAAGTTCAAGGAGGAAAGATTTATTTAGCTCACAGTTTGTAGAAGCTTAGTCCATAGTCAGCTGGCTCCAAGGCAAGGTGGCATGGCAGAGGGCATCGCAGAGGGAAAACAGTCCAATGCAGGCAGAAGGCAGCAAACTGCAAGCAACAAGCAACAAGCCCCCAGTGGCCCTCTTTCTATACCTTATATCTTATCCAGACTACCCACCCTTAGGGCAGATACCATCACACCCAGAACTATACCAAACCAGTAAGTGGACTGATTTAGCAATCACACACTCCAGATCCAGCCACCTCTGAAAAGCTTCACCTATGATTGCGGTAGGCCTGGGGGGACATCTAGACACAAACCATAACAGAGATCCTCCACGCAGCTGCCAACCACCCAAGATTTATGGCCAGCCAGCTTAGCAACACAGTGGAAAATTTCTTCAAGTCAAATGGTGCTAATAGAATGTCCCAGGGAGGATTCTGATTGGTCATGCATGTCGATCCTTTGCCCCAATCAGAGGATGAAGGACCTGATTGGCTACAGTGGAGTTAGATGCGCTCCCCACAGTAGTGGGAGCTGAGGCACAAGTGCCCCACGCCTAAGCTACAGCCTCAGCCCCAGAGCTGGCTTCAGAATGGGGGTGTGTGTGGTGAGGTGAGGCAGGGGTTATTGGGGATTTACAGAAAACCCTACTCAAATTGGCTTATTTATTTTAAAGTATTTTCACAAAAGATTGGAAAAAGCTCCCAATATGAAGATTAGACAAAAAGCAAACAAACATAAAAGTGGAATGAGGAAGAGAGATAAAGCAGTAGACAGAAGAAAACTTCTGAGCTCTGTCACCAACATGCTTGAGGAAGGAGAGGCCACTGCTTTCCAGGACAGGGCTGGCTTGCCGGGGACAGGAAGCCTGGGAGAGGAGGACACGCTCCAGGGTACTACACGTGTGGAAGCTGGAAAGGATTTGAAGAGCAACTGAAGGGCTGGAGAAAAAGGATTAGAAAACCCTTCCCAGACCATCAGGTTTTCTTTAAAGATGGATAATCGCAGGGGGGAAGCAGTTTGTAGGATTCACTGCATAAGCCCTATAGCTCTTAAGCAACGCATAGGGGAAAATGGGAGGTATAAAGTATTTTTTCAAACTTTAAGATTTTTTCCAAGAGGGACAGCAAGAATTTCTAGAGGGAGGAACCATCCCCATGCTCCATATAGTGGCTCTACCCACAGTGTCTGTTAGGATGAAATTCCAGAAAACAGGATGGTTTCCCTCGTGGAGGGCGTGGCAAGAATGTTTTCTAAGGAAACAGCTGGAAGATATACCTTCCCTGGGCTTTCTCAGGAAGAGACCCGGTGCTGTCTCAGTGCCCGGGGACCCCATGGGAAAGGAGTGGGAGAGGGCAGAAGGGGGCCCAGAAACCTGAGCTGTGCGGGGAGCAGCCCATTTGCCCTCTTTGGAAGCCAGTGCCAATCTGGGATGGGAGTTTCAAGTGGGGAAAAATGAAACCAAAATTTTTAAAACTATGTTTAGACATGTGTTAGAAACTGAGCCAGGGGTGGTGATGCATAATTGCAAACCCAGCACACCGGAGGGTGAGGCAGGAGGATCACTGCAAGTTTTGAGGCCATCCTGAGCTACACAGAGTTCAAGGCCAGTTTGAGCTACATAGAGAAACCCTGTCTAAAAACAAACAAAAACACCAAAATGACCCTGCAGATCTATTGGCACTTTTGAATTAAAATCAAAAATTAGTACTTTTTTTCAGTTTTTGTTTTGTTTCCTTTTTGGTTGCTTTTGCTTGTCGGTCCCCATGTCCCCAGCTCTCTCCCTCTGGCTCTCGAAAACCAACAGAGTTCAGCATGGCTCAGAGAACCAAAACCCAAACAAAACCGAAAGCACAACCAAAAGTAGCTTCTGAACTATTGCAGGATTCACCATCCCCACTCGGTCATGAGCCGTACCCAGTGGGGCCCAACCCTGAGGTGAGGACCTGCTACACGCAGGGCACTTTTAAGCACCCTTTGGTCCCCG